TTAGCCAGGATGGTCTCCATCTCCTGACCTCGTGATCCGCCCGTCTCGGCCTCCCAAAGTGCTGGGATTACAGGCTTGAGCCACCGCGCCCGGCCAGGAGAATTTCTTGAACCTGGGATGTGGAGGTTGCAGTGAGCCGAGATCATGCTATTGCACTCCAGCGTGGGCGACAGAGCCACATTGTGTTAAAAATAAATATATATATATATATGCACACACACACATATATATGTAAATACATACATATATATATGTATTTCCACACATATCCATATATATTAGTACAGGCAGTGGTTCTGGCAACATTGTGAAGGTGGTGGGTATGAGTTTGGGAAACACCGTCCCTCATGTGCCAAGGTGTATAATCCTTCACATTCACCATGAATGTTTTTTCTTCATTCAAAATCTTCAACTCCTGTGTGGAAACAAGGATTGATAAAGTGAGCAGCCTCTCCTTCCACAAACTTCTGAATACAGAGATTGAGGCACTCTCTGGCTGGTTCCCTCAGGACCTTGAGGTCGTCCTCAAGACCTGCATCAGACTGCCTTTGTCATTTCCCTGTTCATGAAGATTTTCATTAGGAGCTGGGCTTCTCAATAAAAACACAAATGTAAGCCTGACCCTGTGCTATCTCTTAGCAGCGCTAATAAAAGGATTAGTGCAACAAGTTTCTAAAATGCATTTTAAATATCAGTTTTATTTTTCCTCATTGATGCAGAAGATAGCTTACTATAACATTAAGTCTTTGAAATAAAAAGGAAACGAGAACACAAAACCATTGTAAAGCAAATAAAACATGCAATCCTGACCATGTTTTGTCAATAAACCCAGGCCTAGCAATTTAAGCAGCTGGGAAGAGGGATAAGATATTTTACTTGTTTGTTCTGTCCTTGGGCTTTACTGATTGATTGACTGAGACAGAGTTTCGCTCTGGTTGACCAGGCTGGAGTGTAATGGCATGACCTCAGCTCACTGCAACCTCCACCTCCTGGGCTCAAATGATTCTCCTGCCTCAGCCTCCTGAGTAGCTGGGGTTACAGGCATGTGCCACTACACCTGGCTAATACTGTATTTTTCTTTAGTAGAGATGGGGGTTTCATCATGTCAGTCAGGCCAGTCTCAAACTCCTGACCTCAGGTGATCCACCCACCTCGGCCTCCCAAATTGCTGGGATTACAAGGGTGAGCCACCATGCCTCTCCTGTCCTTGAACTTTGGTAAGTTTTCCTTGTAAGCTGATGGTTGTATTATTTAAAGGTATAGGGAAGAACAAAGAGAAGTCTAGCCCATTGAGAAAGGGGGTGTTACTGATAAAGGACTAAAGTGAATTTTTTTTCCCTGAAATCTGTTTGCTCTGTGGTTATATGATGGTTAATCACATGCTTATTGCCACCACTTATAAAGGTAGAGGCCGTGCTATATAGTCTCATCTATGTGGTGCCCACATCATAGACATTATCCACCATGAAAAAACAGAAACAAAATAACAAAGGGGCTCCTGGTTGATGGAACCTCCTACTGAGCCAGGACTGCACCATACTGCAACCTGCCTCCAAGTCCAACACAGTTTCCAGAGAGTTCTATCAGGTGCTTAAAAGGCACTAAGCAAGAAAAACCCTTACTCACTGTTTCTCTTTTTTTTTTTTTGTTTGAGATGGAGTTTTGCTCTTGTTGCCCAGACTAGAGTACAGTGGAATGCGATCTCTGCTTACTGGAACTTAACATTAAAAGAAAAAGAAAAGCCGGGCGCGGTGGCTCACGCCTATAATCCCAGCACTTTGGGAGGCGGGTGGATCACCTGAGGTCAGGAGTTCGCGACAAGCCTGGCCAACATGGCGAAACCCCATCTCTACTAAAAATACAAAAATTTAGCTGAGCGTGGTGGCGGCCGCTTGTCATCCATCCCAGCTACTTGGGCAGCTGAGGCAGGAGAATCGCTTGAACCCGGGAGGCAGGGGTTGCAGTGAGCCGAGATCGCGCCACTGCACTCCAGCCTGGGCAACAAGCGCGAAACTCCATCTCAAAAAAAAAAAAACAATGAAAAGAAAAAAAAATTAGTTTAAACAAAATGGTTACTTTTGGCCGGGCATAGTGGCTCACACCTGTAATCCCAGCATTTTGGGAGCCTGAGGCGGGCGGATCACTTGAGGCCAGGAG